ACTAATTTTGCACTGATTTTAGTACAACAATTATTTCTGCTATTAACTCTCTTCAAAACAACATGTTACTAATATTTTTTAAAACAAACATAATGTTGGGCATTGGAAAAAGGAGGTAGGGTTAAGTAAAATCAGAATGAATCCTGCCACTAGTAAAGCTTTCCCTCTTTATAGGAAAATCTGAGAAAATGACTGCCTTGTTTCCACCTTGTCTGTGTTTTTTCCCATTGGTAAATACATACTTGGGGAAAACCCAAGAGCTGGTCTCAAAACTGATACTTCCCAATCATGTTTCCTGCAACAATTAGCATTGAAAGTCTGCAATAACCACTGTGACTAACTTTGCCTCAGTTTCCATGAACTGGTTTTATTTCATGTTAGAAACCATCGCTTGTCCTGTGATCAAATGATGTGCTTGCATGATGTAGATTCAACACATGGAAAGCAGCATCTTCCCCTCTCTGAGTCACACTATGATGTCTGCATTTACAATGTAATTTTCTGTAGCAGAGAGATTGCAGAAATACAACAGCCTCCATACAAACCAGAACTTTAATCACACATGTTTAAGTATGCAATTATTATGCTTTGCAGTGGCAAAGTTCGGATAAGTAAAACTCATCCTACACGAGGTAGTGAATAAAGACAATGCGTAAGATGTCTGTGTGTTCTTATAATATAATAACCACTGTGACTAACTTTGCCTTTATGCATGCTCATTCACCCCTAATTGGCAGTAAAATGTATTTGCACATATACAGTATTTGCTCACTTAAAGTCCTCCCTAATTGCTGGAGCTGTGTGATGCAGTCTTATATACAACTCTCTTTTTATCGGATTTATTTTTTATTAAAAGTAAATATTTTTAGATAGACAAAAATGTTATTGAACAGGCTTCAGTTTATATATCTCACTTACCTTGGCTGATATTGAGGAGACTCTGATTATAATCTCTGTTTCTAGTGTGATGTTGATTAAATCATAGTTTTGTTGACTTTTCTCAGAGTTTGAGCAGTTTTCGGGAACAATTTTTCAGCACTTCCCTCCTCCCAGAAAAGTATGAGTTTCTGCAGAATAAGTTCAGCTTGGATCTTAAAATAAATGAGGGCTGCAAAACGTTCACAAAAGGAAAGGGCATATACCAGGCATGTAGTGTGGTTGCACGTACGTGTGGGTGACTGATGTCTAAGCAATGTTGTCAGGAGCTGCAGGTTTGAACTGTGAAGGACCCACTCATTTTGAACTGCAATTCATTGCAATCATGCAATGTTTAATATACTTGACTGGCAGATGCCAGTTGAGTCCTGAAACTGACAGTTGGGATCACTGTGAGCCAGATCAACCTATGAATTGAGTTGATCTGAGGTAAGCCAGTCACCTATATATTTCTCTAAAAGATGCAGGTGTGTTAAAAATGTAAGAATGGTCTATTATGTTTTGTGAGGGGTGAAATAAACATGCGCAATCCATATTTTATCATTCCTAACATGTTCATCATATCCATATAAATTTTTAGTGAAAAAAAATGGAAGGAAACAATGGTACCACAATAGTTGAGACTCTCAGACACATCTAATTTTATTTGTCCTGTCAGAAAAAGTCAAGAACTACACCAAAAATACTTCAGTCTCTTCTACCTACTGACATACAACAACCATAAAATTATAAATTATCCAGTAGCTGTTCTGGAAATTGTTTACTTTTTTTCCAATGATGTTTTTTTTTACATTTTTAGATGAGAAATGGATTTACAGATGTAGTATGAAGAAAGAGATAAAGACAGGGATAAAAAGACATTGAGATTTGGCACTACAGTTTTGGCTACATTATACAACCATTTATCATTACTTCTTTTGTTTTCCATCTCCAGTAGAGTAGGCTTTCCTTTTTTCTTGCAGGTAAAATATAAATCAGAAATCTGATTTGGGGGCCCATCGTTAGGGCTCTTAGTGACAATTTGATTAATTTTAAAATAGCTGTTGTTTGCTTAATTTTTCTCTACATTCAGGTTAATTGAATTTGCATAATTTGGGCATAGCCAAGAATTTCCCCCACTGACCACTCCCAAATAATTCCTATTAATACAAATTAAGATTTTGGTGGAGCATGCACTTGGTTTCTTTTTTCTTCATGAAACTGAAGGTTAATTTGACACAAACCAGTTCTGCAAAGCCAATAATATTTAAATACATAATTCATTCAAACCTCTGTTTGTGTGTGTATGTGTGTGTGCGTGTGTGTGTGTGTGTGTGTGTGTGTATTAAAGTATAAACATATGAGATTACAGTTTCCTGATATGATGTCTTAGATCAAGCGCACTCTTCAACTGCTTCCTCCTATGCATTTATTCAGTAATTCTTATCATTCTAAATGGCTCTACCAATTTGTGGGGTTCTGAGAACTTCTGTTAAAAATTCAGTATGTTTTATTTACTGAAGATGAACTCACTGTAGCTGTAATATAAATTTATGTAGCACATTTATGCCTATGATTGGACTCATGTGACTTGAGTCTTCCATCCAAGCACTGATCAGACCTTGAAGTGGTTGAATCATGTGACCTTAATCAGTACTATTTAGGAGACTATGAAGTGCCATTGCCTGTCAAGGTCACTAGTACTAATCCAGCTGCACTAGTAGCCTGTATATTTGTATAACACAATTTGTATAACACAGTTTCTTAGATGATGTCAAGGACTTGGTACAAATGAACACAGGCATTATATTCCATTAAGAGTAATGTATATGGTTAGTTTTTGAAACATATGTGGATTCTTTTCCTGGGAGGAAAAAATGGCTTCCAATGAGTAGTTCCATACTTCTTTACCACCTACATATTGACAGTGATATTAGACATTGGTTTCATTAGTAAAAATGAACCCACAGAATCAGTTAGGGGAATCTTCTTAAAGAGTGAAGCTATGATCTGCAATAGGTGCATGGCATGATTACATGAAATTGTATAGAAATACACATGGGGTTTTTTTGGTGGTGGTAGTGGTTTATTCCACAGCTGTTCTGACATTATTTCATGGGTGACTTTTAAAATTATTTTGCATTTCTTTAAAAAAAATGTTCAGTCATTGTATAGGGTGAAGGAAAATTGAAGAGGGAAGAATTTAAAAATGCCAGCATGCAAATGTGGCATAAAACAGCAAGGTTATACTCCTAAAATCCTTTTCGTAACCTACTCATCATCTACACAATGTGCTAATTTAATTTGATATGTTTCGTCAAATACTGTCCAATACACAGGAGAACCAGTACCTCCTTCACGATCCCTATTGCAGAAAATGTGAAGCTGAATAGCCAATATCACTGTTTCAGCTTGTGCTACTTCTAATCTAATTTCCACTTTTAAAAAAATCACTTACTGCTTGCAAGTTTGTTTGTTTGCTTGTTTTGGTTGGCTGGCTGGGTTTTCTTTTGTTTTTTTCTGTCTTTTACATTTTGAGGAGAGTACAGTATTATCCAACTCTTCCAGATTCTCAGGAAAGAAAATGGGCCTTGCCAATGAGGATGAGGATTTTCTGAAGCTATCTGGTACCCATTGGCATAAGGAGGGCAAGTGTTTAAATGTTGCCATAATATTACCAGGCAAAACCAATAACTTTTGTACTTGTATTTAATCTTGGGATATGAAAGGGCAGTCATATGCTGCATGGTGTCATAATGCATTATTTCATCATTTTTGGGTCATGGTGGCTAGTAACAAATACCATTGCTATTCCTCTTACATATCTCTAGCTACCTTTTATTTGTGTGATAACACACCTGCTTGGGTAGCCATTTTTTATGTTTAATGTATTTTGGCAAACATACAGAAAACAGGTTATCTCTGTCTTAACTTTAAATCTCTCTATTGTAAGAGTGGCTGGCCATGTGATGGGGCATTTGTGGTGGCATCTGTCTGTTGCCCTATTGAACAAGATTCCCTGTAGCCAAGGAGATGTAAGATTTTTATACTCCTTGAAGAATCAAAATAAAGTCTGTTTCACTTCTACATTTTTTTGTCTCTATCTCAAATTCACCCCCCCCCCAAAAAAAACAACCCCAAAAAACACCTGAGTCCTTCTGAGACAGCAGTTCACCCTCTTTCTCCAAGCCGAATCTTTATTTATTGTTTTTGAACTTCGGCGGTCACTTTTGGATTGTGGGAGGACAGAACTGTTGTGTTTAAAATTGGGTTGACAGTCAGGAGACACATAGGAACCTGCTTGCATTCACTCTCATGGCTAATATTTCCCTCTTGAGAAACAACCAAAGATTAGTAGCCACAATCCAATAGTTTAATGCATGTGTGGGGCTTTTGCTAAAGAGACAGGAGTTTCCTTGTATGTAAGGTCTTTTCCATTCATTTTAATGTTAAGGACAGAATAATGCACATTGGAGCACCAATGGTGCTAAACTGCTTTAAAAGCATCCATATAACATCACCATCCCTTGAAAACTCTTTGAGATGGATTTTTGCCCAGACAATTATGTATTTTATTTGTACATGATGGTTGTGCACTATAAAGTTGCTCCAACAATCTGAACTTTCCTTTCATGTCACATTGTGAAAAACAAATTACCCACCTTTGTTTGCCAAGTTTCAAGGCTGTTTTCTCAGCCAAGAAAGGCCTAATAAATTATGCTTACGATTTCTTTTCCTTTCTTGTCAATGTTTACTGGGTTTGCTTTTTTTGTTTCATTTTTATTTTCTTAACAAATACTTAGCAATGGTTTTAAAAATATTTGTACATTGTGAGATATAGTCAACACCTAACATGCCTTTGTACAAGATCCTGACTTAGTTACAAATTAACGAGAACAATGCACTAAAAGGAAGGGTGAGAATGAATGAAAGAGAGAAAACTATCCATTAAGATGACACCTGCACTTGGAGTTAGTGTATTCCCATCACACGGATTAGCAAGGCGCCCTCTGTGAACTAGAGCAATGACTTAGAGACATGATGTGGTTTTCCCACTCCCTCCATCCCCAGGCCATCACATGGCTTTAATGGCCTTCTGTCTTGGTGGCCTTATTTTCATGATTTACCGATCCTGAAGAAAGCCAGGGAGATACAGACCGCGAGCTGGTTTGCTTAGCCATGCTGTAGTGGCTGATGACGGTGTAGAATCTGCCCCGGGAGTTGGAATCCTGAGCTGAATAGTAAGCATCGAGAGAGGCAGGAATGCACCTCTTATGCTGAAGATCAAGGGAAAAAACAGGAACCATGAATACTAATTTAGCAAAAACACTTTTTTAATTTAATTATCTACTTGCCATCAACTTAGCTCACTCTGAACCCCTTGCAAAAGTTTAAATATTTTGAGTGGAATTCTAGCTACCGATCCCAGCTCCACAACAGTTGACTATTGGCTGATCTCAAAAAACTAAACCTAGAGTTGGGTGTCTGGCTATTACTTGAATGGTTGAAAGCCCAGGGCTGTAGTTCAAACTATAGGAAATAAGAAATAGGGAAATAGAAAAAGGAAAAAAAAAGAGCAATGGGTTACCATTCTGCATTGTTTCCAAAATAACTGCATAGATCTATCCACAGAGCAAAAATCACCAGCAGTTGATCTTGACTCAAAAGAAAATTTTCTTTTCTGGAAGTATAATCCTGAAACTCGCAGCAGAACTACAAGTAAATGTGCTTCTCAATTCCAATTCTTTGTATGGTATAGGCCCGTGATGGCAAACCAATGCCACGCGTGCCACAGGTGGCACACAGAGCCATTTGTGCTGGCACACAAACTGCAGGCAAACTTACCTCACTGTGCATACATGCACCTCACAGCTGATTTTCGCCGGTTTGAGGCCTTTTTCCCAAAGGCTTGAGGAAGGCTTCTGCAGGCTTTGCAGGCCAAAAACCAGGCCCGTTTTTTCACTTTCTGTTTTTCCGAAAATACCGGAAGTGATGAAACAGGCCAAGTTTTGGGCCTGCAGAAGCCTTCCTCAAGCCTCTGGGAGGCCGAAAAAGGTCTCAAACTAGCCAAAAATCAGCTGTGAGGCGCAGTGCAGGTAAGGGAATGGTGGGTGGGGGTGGATTGTGCGCGCATGTGTAGGGGACATGGGGGGGTTGTGCATCGTCTTTTGGGTGCTTGCATGCAAGTGCAAGTGTGCAAGCACATGCACAATTTTTGGCATAGAACCCCAAAAAGGTTAGCCACTACTGGTATAGGCCGATGAACAGAATATTGTCCTTGGATGTAAAGACATAGACATGAAATGTCTTTCTAGAAGACGGTGAATTATGTTTGCCAATAGGTAATTTTTTCTCAGTTTTATAACTGCTACTCCTATTTTTCCTTTTATTCTGTGACAATAAACTGAGGATCAATAAAGATGTCCCAAAACTTTCAAAATGCATGATGTGTATGCAAAAACTAGAGCCAGCCACCCCCATCTACATTGTTAATCTGATACTGAGACTAAGCTGAATCAAAAACCTAATTTTTGTCAGCCTGTTCAAAAATAGATGGGGGTGGCTGGCTGTAGTCTGCTTGAAGATTTATACCTGTCAAATTCAGAATAATTGAGGCTGTTGAAGGGTATTGCAGACCTTTATTTCCTAAAGCACTAGCCACTTTTCAGCATGTTGTTGACAAATTATATCTTCAGTCCTGACAGAGAAAGGCAGGATTAAATTGTAGTCATGCAGTAAACTAAATTCTATCACTAGTTGAGGTAGTTACTTCATCCCAGACTTCTTACCTTATAAACAAATCCATCTGGGCAACTGTGGTCGTAGGTGAACGCTTTGTATACCACAAGAAAGACTATGCAGGCAAGGAATGCAAGAGCCAGGCTTATGAGAATAGTGACCTGCAAAACAATTAACAATTAAATTAATATCTTGCCATGAAATAATGGATATTTATAGTCATTTTAACAGATTTGTGGCTGTGATTGTTTTTTAGCACAACATGCAGCACTTAACTCCCATCATCACAGATATTAAAATAAATACTGGTATAATTTCTGAAAGGGTATATTAACTCTAGGAAAGCAAATTAATAACTATAGAGGAGCTATATCGAAAACAGAAAGCTAAACTAGAACAGATTGCAGCAAGTCTGATGTAGTGGTTAAGGTGCTAGCCTTAAAATCAGTAGACAGTTTCTAGGCCTGCCTTAGGCATAAAAACCACTGGGTGACTTTAATCCAGTAATTCTTTCAACCCAACCCAACCCATCTAAAAAAGATGCTGTTGCAAAGAAAATAGAAAACAAGAATATTAGGTATCTCTGCTGCTTTGAGTTACATACCCCGGGGTGGGATGTTACTGGTTCTGCCCAGCTCTATAGAACTGGTAGCTCTGAAGAGCAACAGACACCAAACCAGGTCTGTATTTGCTGCTGTTTGGCTGACCTGCCAACCCGGGCTCTTACCTGTCCTTTATTTCCTGCTTTTTCAACCTCAGCTGCTTTGCGTGACACAGATAAGGTTGAAAAAGCAGGAAAAAAGTGGCTTTTCAACCACTGTGCACCTGTGCACAGTGCTTTTCAGCTGTACAGGCGGCATAGCTTAAGGTTTTACAGCAAAATGTAGTTACTGAACCGGTAGTAACACCAGTGGAATCCCACCCCTGTACATACCTACATACATACATGTAAAATAGATGATAGATAGATTATAGATGAGATAGAGATAAGAGATCACAGAGATAGAGAGATAATTGTGATAAAATTAAATAATCATCATCACCTAAAGCTTTATAGAAAATCAGAAATTGAAATCCAATTATTGATAAACTCTATAAGAATTTTTAGCCACAGATATAGTAATGGTATTTGGCCTAGGAAAATGTGCCTCTAAAGTAGGGGTTCCCAACCTTTGTTTTGCCCCGCACCCCTAAAGAAATTTCACTCGAACCTCACACCCCCTGAAATTTAGACTTTAGGAACTACTGAACGCGTTAAATATATGGTAGGATTGAATCTTTTCAGCTGTGTATGTGATGGCCACTAAATAACGATACTTAACTCTAAAATGAAAACAAAGTTAATCCATTGCATAATAAATAAAAATGCCAAAATATAGCCAATATCCTATTATTTACCTGGACTTTTCTCGCACCCCCTGGAATATCGTCTCGCACCCCCAGGGGGTGTGAGCACCCCAGGTTGGGAACCCCTGCTCTAAAGCAATAAATCAGGTTAAAATCACAAGCAGTAATCTTATTGAAATGCCAAATGGCCAAACTATCAAGAGCCATCAGGATGAAGCCTACAAATTATCTGGGCATTATATAGTGGAATAACATGAAGCATCGATAAGTTCAAAGCATGATTAACAAACAAGACATCCAAAAAATAAAAATATTACTAAGCACAAAACATATTAGTGCTATCAATATCTGGGTCATACTTATGATATGTTACACTCATTAGAATCATTAGAAGCAGGCTCATTAGAAACAATAGCATAGCAAAGTAGCAACAATGGTGTATTGAAATATCTGCAAGAAAGCTCCTTTGCCTGCAAGCAACAACTGGTGGAACTATGAAATAGACAAAGTATAGAAAATGAAGAAGCTAAAGCATTCTGGGATTTTAGAATTCAAACAGACAAGCACCTGCCACAAAACCCCAGACTTAACAATTGTTGATAAGAAAGAAAAACATGTCTGGATAGTGTATGTCTTGAAGTCAACAGAAGAGAAGAAAGAACTGGAAAAACTCACAAAATACAAAGATCTGCAAATAAAAATAGAATGATGATGGCAAAAGGAAAACAAAGATTCGATCTGAACATCTGGCTAACTACATGACCAACCATAATAATAACAATAAATATTAACATCTGAAACTATGAATTTCTAGCATATACAATGTAAACAAGCTAATTTGGACTGGAATCTAATATCTAGGCAGAAAAACATAAAATATGCAATACTAAATATCACCAAGAGTGTTTCCATCTGGCAATAAGAACACAATAACACCTAGGAAGCCAAGGGTCAAAATAACATAGTTTCCCACTGAGATTGATCTGAGAACAGCTCAAGGTGAAAACAGGACTTTCTGGATGTAAATGACAGAGATGTTATTGGCTGCAATGCACTCTAAATATAAATGTTGGCTGATATTGAGTATAGAAGACAAAGGCAGGAGGGAGGAAGCAGGAAATAGATCCAGCCTCAGTACCAGATTTGAAGAAGCCACAAACAGTGATGCTCATTGCATCCTGCTCCCTCTTTTTCATTTTTAAAAATGCATTATAACTAGGGCAATTGGTTGGACATGCCTATCCTCAACACAATGTTACTATTTTCACTTCTAAAATGTATTGTTTATCTTCAAGAAAAAGTAGTGGCAAAAATAACTGTAAATATAATGGTATGCACTCCAATATGCAAGTATGCTGAATTCATTATCAAATTTATGAAATGCCCCTCCCCAATATATACCAACTCCTTATAGAGTCCTTGTCAAGGTAAATCAGTCAGGAACCTGTGGTCCAATAAACCATTCACTGACCATATTTCTAAGACAGTAGGTGTCAACTCATGAAGCTTCCCTGACCCACTTCCGAGTTGCCATAGGCAGGGGGATGGGAAATTGTGCCTCGCAGCTGCACCATGGAATTTACTCCTCAGTCCTAACATGACACAGTCTGGATGAGCAAGTCAAAGCCATCTCTAATGGATACCAGTAATGCCTGGAGGGAGTGACTTCTGCAACCTGCGAAATTACCTCATTGAGGAATGTGACGGGTGACACACTTTAGGGGGAGAGGGAAACAGGGTCAGAGGCAAGGCGTGAAGGGGATGAAGTCAGAGTTGGCTTCACCTAAGTAATGCTGACATGGTGCTCCTAATAAAAGCCTAGATTTTTATTGCCAGATGGCTTGAGACTCTTAATTGCATTAGGGCACTGGTCAGAACCCTGACAGAAGGACTAGCATGCTGAGGTAAGAAGGCTATAAATAATAATAAAGTCACACAGATGTGTTTATCTAAAATATTCAATATCATGCTGTAATTGCCACTGTGTCTGCCTTTCTGTTTTTCTTGCCCTTGTAATTCTTGCCCTTGTAATGTAGCTAAACTCTGATTTTGCCTTGGCTCATAGCTCTTCAGCAAAGTGTCAATGCTTTGCTGGGAGTCCAGAATATATTTTTTATCGATTTTCAAATAAGCAAGATATGCAAATAAGATTATGTCATATCTTCAAAGTGATTTGATTGCTTTAGGTAAGACAGGTTTTGGCCACAACAAGAAGAAAGCCAATTTGCAAATATCTGTTGAGACAAAACTGATAACCATTTTTATTAGGAAAAACAAAAACTTGGTTTGCTATAATATATCAGGTACTCAGTAAAACCACAGTAAAACATGATAGTAAGTTCCAATATCTGATTGGCTGCCACAAAGAAGAGGGGCGTCAACCTATTTTCTAAAGTACCTGAAGGCAGGACAAGAAGCAATGGATGGAAATTAATCAAAGAGAGATGCAAGCTGGAACTAAAGATAATTTTCCTGACAGTCAGAACAATTAATCAGTAGAATAACTTTCCTCCAAAAGTTGTAAATGCTTCAGTACTGGAAGTTTTTGAAAAGAGATTGGATAACCATTTGTCTGAAATTGTATAGGGTTTCCTGCCTAAGCAGGGGGTTGGGTTAGAAGATCTCCAAAGTCCCTTCTGTTATTCTATTCTAGTGTTGAACCTAGAAAGACAGTCTGACTGTAAACAGAACATTGAGTTTCACAACTGAAGATATGATATTATGACCGTCTTCTTCCACAAAATCTTTTAAAAAAACTGGAAAGCTGCCTAGATATACCTCTGTCCAAGGGCAGACAATCTATCTTAAGGCCAAAGCATCACTGTTCTTCTTTCTTAAAGAGTCTCCAATATTTTTGCTTTGTAAACTAAGGCAGACTGACTGCAAACTGCCTCAAGTAATTCTGGGGTTGAGCTCCCCTGTCTCAGTGATGCAAAATCATCAAGAGAGTTGAGAAAGATATCTATGTAAATTCTCAGTCATCCAGGTCATGGTTGTCTCCAAGGCGCTTTTTCAAAAGGCAACTGGACTTTCTGGTTTTTCTTTGAAAACATTTTGCTTCTCATCCAAGAGCTCTTTGAACCATTTGAAAAAGCAACTTTGGGTTGAGAAAGATATTTATGCCTTGACAAACAGCTTTTGTCCTAACAAAATACTGAAACAGTGCTGATCTGCTTCAGTCAGATGCTTCTTGTCTGTAAAAGTTGTTAAGCAATGCTGCTGTGTCACACAATGGGGAAAAAAATATAGGGGACCATTGCTTTGTTTTTAGCAGGGCTTCAAAGGGGTATCTCATTAAAATTCTGCCTCATTAAAATTCTGTAGAAGTAAAGATTCTTAGTAGCTATATTGGCTCTGTATCTTGTGATATTCAGGAGATTTGTCATACTAATCATTCTATACACCCAACCCTACTGCTATCTCCTTTTAGATACTTCCACCACAACCTACAAAATTGAAACCACTTCCAGTTTTTTTTTCTATATTTATACATTTATATGCCTCTTTTTGTTTAAAAAATTCAAAGTGGTTGACAGTACAATTCAAGCAACTATAATGGTAAGCTAAAGCCTATACTAAAATATTCTATAAAATATAAACAATAAATCTATCAAATGGAAAGAAGAACCAGTAGTACAGAAGTTAAAACTATCCTAAGAACTTGTTTATTTAGTGGTATTCTCCATTCAAGCGCTTCCTTCCCCTGATATACTACGTATTAACTTCCAGCCTATTTTTCAGTTCACTTTGCCTTGGTCTTCCATCAACAGGTTGCAATCTCTTTGCCTCTCTCAGCCAATACAAAATTCAAAGC